GAATAAGTTTCAACTTGAAGATGTTACTGAGGCACAACAATTTGACAAAGATACTCTTGGTGCTATATTTGAAGTGGCACTTGAGATGGAAAAGATTGAGAAAAACATAACTGGAAGCCAAATGCTGAAGGGCTATCTAGTGGACACACTTTTTTATGAGCCGTCGACTAGAACTAGGCTTTCATTTGAATCTGCCATGAAATGTTTAGGTGGGAAGTTTTGACCACAGAAAATGCACGTGAGTTTTGTAGGAATTGGTTCAAATATTAAATGAAAAGGTGTGTAAAAATTGAAAAATGAAAAGGTGTGTAAAAATGGAAAATGAAAAGATGTGACTACGTGTCAACTTCGACTAAATATTCGAACTTGATCCGATGGTCAAATTATAAAAGTAAATAGACCAACTTATTTTACTCGTCGAGTAGATCGCGTGATATAATTGGAATCTCGAAACCAATTCCGGATGAATGAGAAATTGCGAACCAAAGTTGGAAGAAATGAAGTGTTGCAACTTTTCGAAAGGTGCAGATTTTGGCCAAGTGTTGCAACTTTTTTGAAAGGATACATATTTTGGCCCACATTACTTCATTTGCACCTTTTCTACATCTATGAATAGAACCCTATGGACATGGTTTTGGGTATACCAATTGCATTGAGCATTCATTCTTCTTTTGCAATTTTCTTCTTTCTAATTCTAAAGCATTTCATACATTTCCTTTGTAGAGGGAAAATTCTGTCAAAAGTTCGTCGGTTTCTTGTGATTTGAAGTGTTGCTACCACAAGTTGTGAATCCATTGTATCTTAGAAGATAAGTGTCATTCACCGTGAGTACCGTAGAGGGGCAATTTGTCTTAAGGAAAGAGATAACGTCTCACCTTGGATTATTTTCTATTTCTACTCCTTCTTAATCCTTGTTCTGCGTAATCTTTATACCGAAACTCTGTCCAAATTTTCATTCATATAAATTGTGTTTGATCACGCTCTTGTGGGTTAAAACTGATCAAACAAATATATCAAAAATTAACCCTTACATAACTCTTTTTATAAGTTGTCTCCAAAAATTTTAAGACAAATTTGTGTGTCTTTGTGGTTGGTTGTGGACAAATATTACTTTGTTTGAATATTGTTTTATGTACTATTCCTCCACCGATATTATCATCATTTTGTTGAACTTCTGTTTGTGTAACAGAAATGACTACCATCGGGACTTCGTCAAGTCAAAATGGTTCCAATAATGTGGTACCACCTGCGGCCATACCGTTGCATAATACTATTATCCCACATGGGGAAAAGCCGAAAAAAATTTGCTGGAGTAGACTTCAAGAGGTGGCAACAAAAGATGTTGTTTTATCTCACTACTCTTCATTTGGCTAAATTTCTAAAGGAAATTGCACCGGCTGTACAAGAAGGGGAAAATAATTTTGAATCGATTATTGCTTTGAATGCATGGAAACACTCGGACTTTCTATGCAAGAACTATATCCTAAACGCATTGGATAATACACTATATGGGGTATATAGTTCAAAGGAATAAGCCAAGGAACTATAGGATTCTTTGGAGACAAAGTACAAGACCGAGGATAGTGGAACAAAGAAGTTCATTGTTGGCAAATTTTTGGACTACAAGATGGTAGATTCCAAAATCGTAATTAGTCAAGTGCAAGAGATTCAAGTCTTGTTACACGACATCCACGTCGAGAAAATGGAATTGAGTGAATCATTCCAAATGGCTGCCATTATTGAGAAATTTCTTCCTATGTGGAGAGATTTCAAAAATTACCTCAAGCACAAATGCAAGGAAATGAACTTGGAAGAATTGATTGTGCGCTTGAGGATTGAAGAGGACAATCGAAAAATTGAACAGAGGTCGGTTGATTAAGATGGTGCAAATTTTGTTGAAATGGAACCAAAGGCAACAAATAAGAAACGAAAGGCTCCTAATTATGCACCGCGAAGAGACAATTCAAGGAAGGCTAAGAAGTTCAAAGGGAATTGTTACAACTGTGGCAAGGCTGGACATCGTTCAAGTGAATGTCGAAAACCAAAGAAGAATGCTCAAGCCCACAAATAACACTCTATCCGATTGACTGCAAGAAATGAGTTAATCTGCAGTAGTGTCCGAATGAAACATGATTGGAAATACTAGAGAATGATGGATTGACATCGACGCTACCCGCCATATGTGTGCGGACAAGAGGATGTTCTCCAACTATCAAGAATTGAATGGGGAACAACTTTACATGGAAAATTCTGCAAGTTCCAAAGTTGAAGGACAAGGCAAAGTCACTTTGAAGATGACATCTGGTAAAGAACTCGTCGTCAACAACATCCTACATGTGCCGGATATAAGAAAGAATTTAGTGTCCAGGTCTCTACTTAGAAAGAATGATTTTAAACTTGTATTTGTATCCGATAAATTTGTGTTGTCTAAAAATGAGCTATATGTAGGGAAATGATACATGTGCGATGGAATGTTCAAGTTGAACGTTCTTACAATTGTGCTGAAGCAAGTCGTTATGAATAAAACTATAAATTTCGTTTACTTGCTTGAGCCTTCATGTAAAGTCCTAAATTTTCGTGAAATAGAATTAAATTTTTATATGTTATATTTTAATATTTTGAAAAGTTAGGGACTAAGATGATACATAGCAAATTTCAATTTTATTTGGGTCAAATAATTATATTTTGACCGAGCAACAATAAGTATATGAATATTGGGCTCGTTGGATAGATTGAAATTAGTGACGCATATTAGACTCGAGAAAAAGTTGATTTGATTAAGCAATGCCCAAATTATCGAGGTCAAAAGATATGGTGCTAAATGATTTTAATTAAGTTGAATTAATGAATCTATAAATTAAGGGGGGGCACGTGTAGTGGTACTAATTGAATAATAATAATAAAAAAAAAGTTATATATATATATATATATAGAGAGAGAGAGAGAGAGAGAGAGAGAGAGAGATGGATAGATATATAAATTTTATATTTTCACACGTTACTTTTCCTTTGAGTTTTTCTCTCTCCCACTCAAATTAGCCACCTCTAAGAAACTTCCATATACCTACTACATTTTCCCCACTACCCAACTAAAATGAAAGATTCTCCACATTCCTTCATTTATCTCACGTTCATACGGTTTCTTCACTTCAACAATTAATAACTTCCCCATCCTATATTTATTAATCATTTTCTTCTATATTTTTATTTCACTCAAACAAGAAAGACTTTGCAGTAACATTTATAGAGCATTCTTCATATCTCAACATTTTTCTTTGGGCTGAAACGCATTTGAAGGTTAAGGTTTGGATACGACATGCAAGTGGTTGTCCCGTTTAATTTTTGTTATTTCATATTGATAAATATTTTCGTTAATGATATGAAATGATATGATATGATTGAGCTCTTACCGGTTAAAGATATGATAAGACGGTACGATTTATTTTGATATATGAATGATAAATGTTATTCGGGATTGTACGAATATTTGTATCCTAGTGAGTATTCCCCATACTCACCCCTTTTTTCCTACCTTACAGGTTAGTACGGGTCGTGTTGGAGTGCGGTGGTTTGATGGTGTGGTCGTGTCTCGTCTAAGGAACAAGGATCTAAAATCTAGCACGTAACCTCATTTATTTTAATTTAGTTGTCATGGAAATTTATTTACAATTAAATTTACTGTGCATGTTTATTTTTTACATGGACGTGTTTAAACTTACATTTTTAATTAAATATTTGAATTAAATTGTTTGGTTTCCCTTTACTGCTATTTTTCATTAATGGTAACAAATTTTTACATGTAATTAATTATGAATAGAACGTAACATATGCATGTCCGAAATCTCGAATCAGCAAGAATGTGGGGGAAATTACTCATTTTCTCCAGCCACTAATAATAGTCCAATTCATCTTGCTAGCTATCCGTTATTTTCTGTGAACACTTATGATAATGTCACCTTGATTTGTATTAATTTTAATGATTAGGGTGCTACTGCTGCCTTTCAAATTGATTTATGGATATATCCATGCATGACAAATTAATGAAGACCCTATAATGACGTGAGATTAGGGGAGTTGAGGCCATGTTTCACTTACTGGAGGAAAAGAGAATAAAGTATGCTTATTACTATTATTTTAACAACAGTAAGGAAAATTGCTTAATAACATTTACGCATATTTCTTGCTAAAATGGAACTCCTTATATATTTTTCTTCAAAGTTCATCATAACATGATTTTTATTTCACATGTTAAGATTTCTCTAGGTTATTGACAAGGGATAACATCATTATAAACCCATTTATTTTTTTAAAGAAACATTTGGTAGTGACTTAAGTTTTAAAAAAAAAAATTATTTGATTTTTATAAAATAAAAATAAAATAAAATTGGGTCGCTACAGTTTGGTATCAGAGCGTAGGTTTAATTTCCTGTAGACTCACGTGTATTTTCATAATTTGGTTTAAAAAAAAAGACGTGAACTCACTATTCACGGTTTGAATAGTGACAGTTCACTGTTCACTGAACAGTTTAAATTAAATTTAAAAAAAAAGTGTGATTGTTTAAATAGTTTATGTGTGTATATATTTATATACTTATTAGAAATACCTTTCTTAGAATAAATTTTATGTTTAGCCACAATAATCACTAAATCACTTAGTTACTAGATTTTTTTTTCAAATATGTGAAATTTTATAATAGTCCATGCAGTAGTATATGGTATTTTCTAGTAGCTAAAATCTCGATGTAATTCCCCGTGTAAAAATAATAAAAATAATAAAAATAAAAATAATAATAAATAATAATAAAAATAAATACTAAATATAAATTTTGAAGATATATATATTTATATATATATATATAAACACTGAATTTTATACGTTTTAAATATTAGGTGTAATAAAATGTTTATTTGTCTCATTGCGTAGTATCTGTTAAAGGTTAACATTTTCTGAAAATTTATGAATTTAACAATAATGACAATTTAAAATTATTAAATATATGAATGGTCTTTGGCACTCAACGACCACCAATCGACGACTCTAAGGTATGTAAAAAGGGTAAGAACATGAATACACTTGGGTGTTTTGCATAACTTATATATTTTAAATTTCCTACTTCTATATTTTTAAGATATGCACTTTGTTTCTCCACTAAATTGATAATATGTATTATGATAAAAAAAAAAAAAGTATAACGTGTTAGACTTAGTGCTGAAATGTGATTGTAACTTCATATTAAATTTTAGGAAATGGCACCACCTACTCATACGAATTTGATGCGTGATTTACTACGAGCGATACAAGAGTTGAGCAGGCAAAATCAAGCACCTCCACCACAAAATGCACCGCTACAGCAGAATGCACTGCATTTTGCCCCTAGAGCTGTCTCAGTGGTTGAGCAGTTTCGTAGGTACAAGCCTTCCACTTTCGACGGTAATTTTGAACCACTGGTCGTTGAAGAGTGGATAAGAGGTCTGAAGCGCATATTTCGACACATTGCTTGTACGGATGCACAGAAAGTGTTATGTGCGGAATTTATGTTGATTGGAGCAGCTGGTCACTGGTGGGAATCTGTTTCACGTACAAGGACGGAAGAGCAGCAACGTAATCTGACTTGGGAGCAGTTAGAAGACGAAGTGATGGCAAAATATTTCCCACAGGCTTTGAGGGACTTCAAGGAATCAGAATTTCTGCAACTCAGACAGGGAAACATGTTACTTACTGATTACGAGAGGCAATTTGAGCAGCTCTCAAGATATGCCGCGCACTTGGTGGATGCTGAAGTTAAGAAGATTAGGAGGTTCGAGAATGGACCGCGACCAGAGATTGGCATGATCATTATGTCCCATTTCACTTCATATCGTGAAATGTTGGAGAGGGCTCATGCTATTTCATATCAAAGGACTACATTTGAACAATATGCCCAGCAAAGCAAGGAATCGTTGGGGAAAAGAAAGTGGAGTGATCAGAGTAAGAACAAACGTATCTGGCAGAATAAAAGAGCAAACACAGGAGTTCGTATCGGTGGGACGAGTGAAAGTGTTACATCTTGTCCTAAGTGTAATAAATTTCATCGAGGTGAATGCTTTTTTGGAAAGAACATGTGTTTTCGGTGCGGTAAGCCGGGACATATTGCTTTACACTGTACAGAGCCTCCACGAAAGAAAGATGATGACCAAGATAAGAACCCAAAAAGAAAGGCTCGAGTTTTCGCACTGAATGAGCATGAGGGGCAGCAGGATCCGAATGTGATAGCAAATATTTATTAATATTTATTTTAACATACCTGACTATGTTCTTTTTACCTAGGAGTAAATATCGTTTCATTTCTGTCCTTTAGTTGCTAGTCTAACACTCTAATTACAAAAAAAAAACAGGTATTCTATTATTATCCAATGTGCTTGCTTACGTACTTTTTGATTCTGGGGCTACCAATTCTTTTATATCTGCATCCTTCGTCGCTAGGTCCAACTTTGCATGTGTTAGAATAAATAATGAATTAGAGGTTAGCATCCCGTCAGAAAAAACTCTTTGCACGAACCAGATGACTAAATCTATGAAGTTAGAGATTGATGGAAAAATAATGGAACCAGACTTATACCTCTTGGAAATGAAAGATTTCGATGTTATTTTAGGCATGGATTGGTTAGGACTTAATCATGCAACCATTCTATGTCACGAAAAAGAAGTGCTATTTCATAGACCAGGAGAGGAAGGGTTCCGTTTCTTTGGAGCAAAGTTCAAGTCTCCACCTCGCCTTGTATCGGCTGTACAAGCGGAGAAGATGTTGAGAAAGGAGTCATGCCAGGGATTCTTGGTTAACATCATCAGTTCTCAACATACAGAAATGACTGTTAACGATATTAACATCGTGCGAGACTTTGCAGACGTATTCCCAGAAGAATTGCCAGGCATTGCATCAGATAGGCAAGTTGAATTTACAATTGATTTGGTTCCTGGAGCAGCACCAGTATCTAAGGCCCCATACCGAATGGCATCGAAAGAACTTCAAGAATTGAAATTGCAATTAGAAGATTTATTGGAGAAAGGTTTTATTCGACCAAGTGTATCTCCTTGGGGAGCGCCTGTACTTTTTGTCAAGAAGAAGGATGGGAGTATGAGGATGTGCATCGACTACCGGGAATTGAACCATCTGACCATAAAAAATAAGTACCCGCTACCAAGAATAGAAGATTTGTTTGACCAGTTAAGGGGTGCTTCAGTGTTTTCAAAGATCGACTTGAGGTCAGGGTATCATCAACTGAAAATCAGGGCAAGCGAAATACCAAAAACTGCTTTCAGAACTCGTTATGAGCATTATGAATTCACTGTCATGCCTTTTGGTTTGACCAATGCTCCAGCTGTATTTATGGATCTCATGAACAGAGTATTCCATCAATACTTAGATCAATTTGTCATAGTATTTATTGACGACATACTCGTGTGCTCCAAAGATAAAAAGCAGCATGAAGAACAACTCCGAGTAGTACTTGAGACTTTGAGGAAGGAGAAATTATATGCTAAATTCAAGAAGTGTGAATTTTGGCTTGATCGCGTAGGTTTCCTTGGTCACGTGGTTACCGCCCAAGGAATCGAAGTAGATCCTGCTAAAGTAGAAGCAGTAACAAATTGGCCAAGGCCGACCAGTGTGGGTGAAGTTCGCAGTTTCTTGGGGTTGGCTGGCTATTACAGAAGATTCATTGAAGGTTTCTCAAAAATAGCAGGGCCAATGACTCAGTTAACAAGAAAGGGTGTAAAGTTTCAGTGGATGGAAAAATGTGAAAAACATCCTCAAACAGATGGACAATCAAAAATAACTATCCAAACTCTTGAAGATATGTTGAGGGCATGTGTTTTGGATCTTGGAGGTAGTTGGGAGACACACTTGCCTTTAGTGGAGTTTGCTTACAACAATAGCTTCCAGGCCACTATAGGTATGGCCCCATATGAAACTCTTTACGGTAGGAAGTGCAGATCCCCTATCCATTGGGATGAGGTCGGAGAGAATAGAATTTTAGGTCCTGAAATCATTGAACGAACAGTTGAGGCAGTTGACAAGATTAGAGCCAGAATAAAGACAGCACAAGGTCGACAAAAAAGTTATGCGGATAGTAGGAGAAGGATTTGAATTTAGTGTGGGTGACAAAGTTTTCCTTAAAGTAGCACCCATGAAGGGTGTATTGAGATTTGGCAAGAAGGGAAAATTGAGACCGTGATTTATTGGACCTTTCGAGATCCTTGAAAGGATTGGTGTTGTGGCTTACCGACTTGCCTTACCTCTTGAACTTGCAGCAGTGCATAACATGTTCCATGTATCGATGCTCAGAAAATATATTCATGATCCCAATCATGTGGTAAGCTATCCGACATTGGACATACAAAAAGATTTATCATACGAAGAGATCCCGGCAATGATTTTGGACAGAAAGATACATCAACTCAGAAATAGAGAAGTCCCCCTGGTAAAGGTTCAATGGCGAAATCATGGACTTGATGAATCAACGTGGGAGAAGGAAAATGAGCTTAGAACCAAGTATCCAGAACTCTTCGATTAGTCAAGGTAAATTTTCAAGGACGAAAATCTTTTAAGGAGGGAAGATTGTAAAGTCCTAAATTTTCGTGAAATAGAATTAAATTTTTCTATGTTATATTTTAATATTTTGAAAAGTTAGGGACTAAGATGATACATAGCAAATTTCAATTTTATTTGGGTCAAATAATTAGATTTTGACCGAGCAACAATAAGTATATGAATATTGGGCTCGTTGGATAGATTGAAATTAGTGACGCATATTAGACTCAAGAAAAAGTTGATTTGGTTAAGCGATGCCCAAATTATCGAGGTCAAAAGATATGGTGCTAAATGATTTTAATTAAGTTGAAT